GATCTCAGCACAGAGTGGGTAACATTGTAATAGATCTCAGCATAGAGGAGGTAATAGTGTAGTAGATCTCAGCATGGGGGATAACTACATCTCAGCTGCTGGACCACTGGGAATCCTGGCTCCATCAGCTTGACCTTCACGATCGCAGTGTGTATGTGTTTACATGTGTGTGTGTTGTATGTGTGCTGGTGTAAGTGCATGCATGCGAATGCACCCATGGATGTGTGTACGTACATGTGTGTATGCTTCCTTATATGTACGGAGGTACTCGCTGCTTTGTCCATGTGTGCATATGGGTGAGTGTGCATGTACCTGTGTGCACACATACATGTGCACTTATGTTCATGTGTGAATGTGTTTGTGCACACATACATGTACCGGTGTGGCATTATGCATGCCTGTGCACATGCATGTGTGTGGATGCATATATGACTTGTTAGCATGTACCCACATGTATGCATGTGTGTGCTTGTCCATTCTAATCGTGGTGGTTCTCAAGAGTGTACCTAGTGTTTGGTGGTTGGGGGAGCATTGTCCCCCCTTGTGTTCAGACGCTCGCTGGAGGTATGCAGACGCCTCACTGCCTGTGTGAGCCTGCCCTCGACCCAGGCTCATGGCGGAATCTCAGGGCTGTGCTTCCTCCTCATGGGGTCCTTGTGCTGTCGGAAGTGCTGTCTGCACTTCTTCTTGGTCACCCAGGTGTTGGTACCGGGCTTACTGTGAGGCTGCTCTGCTGGGTCGTTCCGCACAGTGCACGAGAGGCTTTGTGAGCAGGCTTTCCTGGCTTCCCCGAGCTCTCATCCCCAGGGTGGACTTCTCTTCCTTAATGCCCTGTCCCCTCTGGGACCCCTCTGGTCTCCTCCAGGACACACGCCTCTCAGAGAGGATTACGAGAGAAGCACAGAAATGTGCTGCGGGAGAGCACGGCTCATGTGGCACTGAGCTCACATCTCGAATATGTGACGTCACGTCTTAGTTTTAATCCTTGGCATCCCGAGTATGTAACGTCACACCTCAGTTTTAATCCTTGGCGTCCTGAGTATGTGACGTCACGCCTCAGTTTTAATCCTTGGCGTCCCGAGTATGTAACGTCACACCTCAGTTTTAATCCTTGGCGTCCCGAGTATGTGACGTCACACCTCAGTTTTAATCCTTGGCATCCTGAGTGTGTGACGTCACGCCTCAGTTTTAATCCTTGGCGTCCTGAGTATGTGACGTCACGCCTCAGTTTTAATCCTTGTTTTCATTGTACAATTTCATGTCAGGAAGAAGGAGCTCTAGAACCAGTGAGCAGAGTCTTTCCCCTAAAAAGGAATACAACTCTTGCTACAGTAAAGCTGAGAAGGAGCATGCCGGGAAACAGCTGGGTAAGGCTGTTTGAGGGGCAGCACCTGCGGTTGCTAAGCCTTTGCTTCCTAGTGACCCTTGAATGCATCGAGCTCGAGAGCAGTGGGCTGCCCAGCTCCTTCCTTTACCCTGCAGGTCCGATCCAGAGGGTGGGCCACACAGGGGCACAGTGACCACTGCCGATAAATCTCTGGCAGGAAAATGATATCGTGGGATGCTGGGGAGGGAGCTTTCTGGTCTCTGGGGAGGGGATGGCCAGACAGAAAACTGACGGGGATATAGAAGGACATGCAGATCCCAGGAATGGGCTGGACCAGGGCTGTGAACGGATGAGAACGATCCAGGTGGCATCGGCTCTTGGAGGGTGCTCAGTGGGAGCACTGCGCTGCTGACTTGGGGGTGGGCGAGGCGGAAGACCCGGCATCTGGAGATGACTTTGTTGGAGGGATACTGGGACAGAGGATGTCCTGAGGGCGGGGGAAGGAGGAACCTGGTAGGGGCCTTGGGGAGGGGGAACCTGTGGACATGTCTGCTGGCCCGAGTCACCCAGAATCTGAGGACCGACCACTGAGCTTGAGCGGACAGAGTCTGTTGGTGACCCTAGCCTAGGACCCTATAAACCGTACCTGTAGCAACCCCTGTCTACAGCCGGTGCAATGTTTTAATGTTTTGTTAACTATTTTATGTCAGGAAGAAAGGAAGATAATATTTCAGCTAAAATTTTAGACCCCATAGTGTCTGCGCTAAGTAATGAACCAGAGCCGGAAACCACAGCTTCAGAAACTGGTAAGAAAAATGTCTTCTCCTCAGGCCTCACCACTAGGATATGAATGAAGTGGTCACGACCAAAGCACTCATTTGTTGCTGTTGTTATGTGCCGTGGAGTCAGTTCTGACTCATAGTGACCCTGCACAGGGTTTCCGAGGCTGTTCATCTTTCTCCCGCAGAGCAGCTAAAGCACTCATAGCAAAGTATAAATGCAAATTATTCGTTGTTCTTTTTAAATGCTGTCTAGTCAGTTCCGAGCCATAGCAATCCTGTATAGGGTTTTTAAGGAGTGACTGGTGAGCTTGAACCACTGTCCTTGCGGTTCAAACAGCTTTGCAGTCCAGTACACTACCCCACAGCGCCACATCAGGACTCCTGAGTATCCATAGCCTGTTGTTAAGCGCCGTCGAGTTGGGTCTGGATTTCCAAGGATCAGCTGGTGGGTTTGAACTGCCGACCTTGTGGTTTGCAGTCCACTGCGGATCCTACAGTGTCCTGTTTGTAGTTAACATTATTTTTTGGTGTTCTAACTGCTTTACTGAAGGTCAGATGTTTAAAGCTGTGTGAAGGTCACAGGTGACCGATATCTTAACTTTCAAAGTTGCGTAACGAAGAACAGCTCAGTTTAAGTTAACCTTCACCTGCCTTTTTTATGGGTGGTGGTGGTGGTGGTGGTCCTGTTAAGAGTGATTGGTGGATTCGAACTGCTACCCTTGTGGTTCACAGCCCGGTGTTACCTCACAGAGCCACTGCATGCTTGCTCGTTAAGGTTTACACTAGTTCAAGGTGTGAGCTTCATCTTGCTGCCGGAATGTTGCCAATTGATGGGGCTGATGGGATGGAGGGTGTTTTTCATTTTGTATTTCCTCCCTCTCCTGGTTTGTTACATGGACACGGTGTCCTGCAGTAAAAGCTTTTGAAGTGTGTACTTAAGGCACAAGGGGCTCTGGTGGTTCAGCAGGTTAGGTGTGGGACTGGTAACTGCAAGGTTGGTGGTTCAAACCCACCAGTTGCGCCGTGAGAGGAAGACGAGGCTACCTGCTCCCACAAAGATCCACAGTCCCGGAAACCCTACCCAGAACACACTGGCTAGTTGCTCCCGCAGCTAGTTCCAGCTGGCCCATGGCCACTAGAAGCGCGCATTTGGAATTTGGAAAGGGAGGCCTTGCCGTTGAGTGTTAGTAATAGCTGTCCTCTGCGTCTCTGGGCGCCAAGCCTTCAGGCACATCACCAGCCGTCCGGACTGACTTTTCGAGGTGAGAAGCGGTAAGCACCCACCCGCCACCTTGGAGAACTCACATGTCTGAGGAGGGCTGCACCCAGGGTAACCTGTCTCAAGGGTCTCCGCCCCCCGCCGTACATATCGTGCTGAGCGGTCAGGATGATGGACCTCGTGGGCAGTGCAGTCCTCTCTGATGACAGTGCTTGTCCCTGAGTTGTCCTTGAGCCACATCCCTCAGCCAGGGGTTCCGGGAGACAGGGGATGGCTGGGGTGCCGCACTGGCCCCTTCAAACGTGGCACGGGACTGCGTTCTCGGAGCTGTGGGATTACCTGCCTTGGGAACAGGTATGATGAGGCACAAAGTGGTCGGCTTGTCAGAGACACAGCTAGGCATAAACCCTGCTTCCCTCGCCTCAGGTCACTGGGGAAGGAGGCTCCCAAACCCACCGCGTCTTGCCTCTTCTGGCCATAGCGACTGGTGGATTTGAACTGCTGATCTGTCTGCAGTCCAGTGCTGTACCTCTGTGCCACCAGAACTTCAGATTTGCCATAAAACCCACAAAACCAAATCCACAGCCATCGCGTCGACTCCGAGGCGTGGTGACCATACAGGACAGAGGCGAACTGTCCCATGGGGTTTCTGATACTGTCAGTCTTTATGGGAACAGACTGCCTCCTCCTTCTCCCTCAGAGCAGCCGCTGGGTTCAAACTGCTAACCTTTCCGTTAGCAGCCCATTGCCTAACCCACTGCACCCCCAAGGCTCCTCCAGGAGCACACAGTACCCCAAATCAGGAAAGCACAAAGCTCATTCTGATGAGGGATCCCAGGTTATTAGTTATTCAGAAAGAGATTGAGTGGTTTGGTGTCTCTCTACGTGTGGGCCCGACTGCCTTGTCGGGTCTCAGCTGAGCTCCCCTTACAGAGATGACAATGAGGCTGCTGCCCCCTGGTGGCCTCGAGCAGCGTTCTCCCACCACACACACCACACACAGTCCCCCGCCCGGACCCTTCTTCCCTGGCCTCCTGCTGCTTCACAAATGTCCTGCTAAAGCAGACCTGGTGCTCTGCAGTCAGGGCGCCTGGGTCTCTTGCTAAGTGATTTCCAGATCAGTGAGCCCCTTTATCCCGGTTGCTGTCCCTTAGCGCATCAGAGGACCTTCGGGGCCCACCATGATCCTGCTCTGTGTCACCGCTGTCGGCGGACAGGATGGCTGGCTGTTTGAAATTGCTTCCCGGCTAGCTAACTCCAGGGGCTGGTTTTCTTTCTCAAACCTGAGCTGATTCTTCTCATCCATCTTGTATTGCAAACTGTCAGTGTGGGCACTGTCAAAGTGTTCTGTCACGCGAAGTCCTATCTTGATTTTGCTTGACACCGCTTGTTTTGTTTTATTTATTGAACTTTTTCATTATAAAAAATATAAGCTAACACCCACATGGAGTCCTGGTTTGGCGCTGTAAGATAAGCACTGGATTGTTAACTGAGAGGTCGGCTGTTAAATCCACCACCCTGTCATTGGAAACCCTATACAGGGTCGCTATGAGTCGGAGCCAAGTCACTGGCACTTTACAACAACAGTGCACTTATACCTCCCACCTAGATTCACAAGTGGTGACACCTTGTCATAGTTACTTCTGTAGCTGTAGCTTCCTATGAACCATTTCAAAGTATATTCACAGCATCCTGATGCTTCACCTATATACATATTAGCATGCAGCTAAAAAAAACAAAAACAGAAAAAAGACACACCCCTTCATAGCCGCAAGATTGACTTCACACCTCGCAGAACGGCTATATTTTATACAAAGAACACGCACGTTATTCCGTTTTTGCAAACAGTACAGCCCCCTCTTGCGTGAGTTGTGAGTGTTTGATTTCTGTGACTGTACTGTCTACAGAATGTGCAGTATTATCCCTAATGGCCTCTAAGGCCCCAGGTTGTATTCGTCTATAGAATATGCAGTATTATCCCTAATAGCATCTAAGGCCCCAGGTTGTATTCGGATCACCCCCCCAGCATGTTTTCCATCTCCTTTTCTGCTCATTCCATGACCTTGAAGAGAGAGGTTGCCTGTCTTGTAGACTCAAGCGCCGCCTGGATTTTCTGATTGCCTCCCTCTGCTCCCCTCCACCCTCTGCTGTTTCCTGTCAGGACTTGACTCCGTGCGGTGAGACCTGGTACTGTGGGGGTCATGCTGTACACCCAGGATGCTCACTGTGTGTGTTTATGGGCGTGCCCAGCAGATGTGAAGACTGCCCGTTGGGAGAGGCGAGGTCCTCAGTCTCAACTCTGGCTGTTCCAGAGCTCAGGTGTCGACTTGAGGCAGTTGTGGTTTGCATAGAGCTCTGGCTACTGACGCTGCTTGGAGTGGTGTGTGGGCTGTCCATCTGGTGGATGAGGGTCATGGGTCCTGTTGGCCAGCACGGCATCCCCGTTCTTCCTTAGAGTCCACTCACTTAGCCGTAGGCCAGCTCATCATCGAAGCGGCAGAGAGCTTAGGGAATGGACTTGGGCCATCTTGATGATCGAGGCCCAGGGCCACAGCTGAGCAGCCCTCAGATACCAGGTATTTCCAAGCAACATGTTTTGCTACTTGATTTAAAAAAGTTTATTTATTTAAGTTATAGTTTGAGTGCCCGTTTTCTGTTCAGCAGTTGATATGCCATTTACTACATGATGGATTGATTTTTGGGGGATGGGGCTGACTGATAGTTGATTTTTTTCTGAAATTACGTGTATTATTTTCTTTGAAGCTGGTATTAGGCACACTGGTCAGTCTGCCCTCTGTGACTAGGACTTGTGCTGCCCACATAGTCTGTCCTGGCTTGTCTCTCTCTAGTACAGGGATCCGACTTTAGGAGCACTCACGTAAGAGTCCTTCGGAACTTGGAGAAGACAGACTCGTGCCCAGTGTGCTTGGCCTCCTGGGAACACAGAGATGACTCACAGTGGATGTGTAATTTCCTTACCAGGCCAGGGGCTATGCCAGAGCACAGGACATGCCGTAGACTGTCCAGTAAGATTTAAAAGAACATTAGTAAAGGATAAATAATGGGGCTGTTGACTTCGAAAGGTGAAGTTCTTCAACTGTTCAGCTGGATCTTATCTTGAGGTTGTCTTGTGAAACCTGCTAGTATTGGATGTTGATTCTGTAGATGACTAACTGCTTAAATCGCGCTGTTGCAGTGAGCATCTTCCTTGTAGATTGAGACAAACGTCTTTAAAGATATTGTCATATGCGTGCAGCTCTGGCACAAATAAAGCAGGTCCTTGATAGTTAATGACCGATGGATTTTGACAGAAGTGCTTTCTTTGGATAGTTTACAGATGTGTAGCAGTTGGTTTTAGGAACGACGAGTCTCCCAGGTTTTCCCCGAGAGCAGCGATGGACCCTTTAGTGAAGAGAGTAGTCGGCCAGCTCTGGGTCCAGCCATGGTCCCAAACCCGTTTCTCTAGCCCAGTCTTTCATCCCCTACACTTCTGGCTTTGGAGGCCTGGTGTGGTGCCGTGGGCTTATGCCCTGGACTGCAAAGTCATTTAAACCACAGGTTGGCTCACCAGCCACTCCTCAGAAACCCTATACAGGGTCACTGCGGGTCAGAATTGACTCCGTAGCACCTAACACAACAATAACAACTTGTAGCTTTCATAGAAAAATGATTTCATTTCTCAGGTATCTGATTTTTGTCTTGCCGTCCACTTTGGCCCGCCAGTCAGTAATCAGTGGCCAAGTATTTGAGACTCCTCAGTACGTGCAGGTAGTAGGCACACTGAACCCACTGAGTGCATTCTGACTCGTAGCGACCCTATAGGGTACAGCAGAACTGCCCCATGGGCTTCCCAGGGCTGTCAATCTTGGCAGAGGCAGACTGCCAACTCTTGTGGGTTTGAATCACTGACCTTTCATTTGGCAGCCAAGTGCTTTAACCTCTGCACTACCAGGGCTCCCTCAAGGATGGCATGTAGTGTCAAAGTGGCCTTCTCCTTTAGTTTACCCTGGCTGTAGTGGGGGGGCTGGTGGGGGTGGCGGCGTCAGGGAGCTCCCCCAGATGGTAAGCCTGGGGTCTGGCCTGCCTTGGCCGAGTAGGGAGGAAGTCCCGGCCTTGTGCCCTCGCAGGCTGCCTGTGGTCAGCTGGCATCGGAGCTGGCAGACCGAGATGGAGTCACAGCCTGAATGACCGACTTTGCCCTGTTTCACTTCAGGGTCAAGAGAAGCTCCTAGTCAGTCAGCTAGCGTCGCAGATAGTAGTTCAGCCACTCTGTGGTGTGAGAACGTCAAGGCCCAGCCCGCAGCGAAGCCGAAAGGTAAGAGGAGGGACCCCTCCCCACGCCTTTCCCAGAGAGCCAAGCGGCCCACCTGGGTCCAGCCTCCTGCTTACCTGGCAGATGGCGTGCTCTCGGCTCTTTGCATCAAATGGAGAAGGATCAGGGCCAGTGCAGGTCACGCCAGACTCCCACACCTGTGCCTCTGGAGACCTGGCCACCTGCCCCCAGGGACGGGACGTTAGTCAGCCCCAAGCTTGACCTTGACCAAAATGCTCCTCAGTGTTCAGCCAGACCCTGCTTGTGGCCTACTTTTTCTCAGCCTTTGTCTTTAAGACCCTGGAGCCCCTCCCAGGCTTGGTGGGTGGCCAAGTGTGTGGCGCCCCAGGAACTGGGCAGACAAAGCAAGTGACAGAGGCCAGCTCTGGTCAGCATGTGTGCTGGTGAGCGGGTTGCACGCCTGCCGCCTGTGACGAACAAATGGGATGCCAGAACCAGTGAGGGATGGCGTCTTTGGGGACTTGGCTGTGTGTGGCCCGGGAGTGTGGTGGGAGCTTTCTGGCTGTGGGACCTGCCTGAACCGCAGGAGAGAGGTGGCCGGTTTGTGCCCAGCCCTGGGGCCACGCTAGGGAGTCTGACACAAAAGGACAACCGTTGTTTAAGACTGTTATTGTCAAAAGTCCGAGAACAGGTTGTTACAGTGAAGAGACATCCTTTTATGGTTACCAGGGAGGGAGGGGAGGGAAGAATGACAGCCAGGAACACCCTTTGGGGCAGCTGTGCTTCGCCTGTGGCGTCACCGTGAGCTGGAACCCACTCGAGAGTCACACTGGCCACTGAGTGCTGGAAGCGTAGTCCAGATTGGAATAAGTTTTAATTGTAAAATTCACACCAGATTTCAAGGCCTTCCGATGAGGGGGCATTGAAAAGAGCACTCAAACTCAACTCGAGAGGCTCACAGAACATTCTAGAGATGATGAGATGAGGCGTGATGAGTCCCCAGGGTGTTGGTGCCGCTCCCCCAGCTGAGGGGAGGAAAGGTCTGGTCTGGAGCTGCGGGGTGCAGGTGGTACCTGCTGGTATCCTGTGTGCAGTGTCCCACAGGGCTGGAGCAGTGGGGAACAGGCTCCATGGGCCTGGCCAGCATGCAGTGGGTCCGAGGAGGGGTGGTTGCTGGGACTTGACACTAACAGGAGCGCAGACAGCACAGAAGGTGACCTGGGCCGGAGCGTCTCAGTGAGGAAGGTGCTGGTGGGCGGGAGTGGATGGGTCAGGGGCTGAGGACAGGGAGTGCCCACTGGCCAGGGTCCCCGTCCATGGGAGGAGAAGGTCTTCAGTCTGAGAATGCGTCTCTACATTTCCATCATCTCTGTGAGCGCTGCACGGACCTGCCAAAACCCAAAACCAAACCCAGTGCCGTCGAGTCATAGTGACTGTCCAGGGCAGAGATTGCCCATCTACTAACCCGCAGTCATGGAGGTTCTGAGGATGAGCTGGGGACTTGGAGTCCTGGGACCTGGGTCTGTGTCTCTGTCACACAAGGCAGCTTGTTAGGGAGGTACCTCTGCTGCCACCCCCAGGCCTCCACAGCCCTCTGTCTGTCCTTACCCCAAGGCCCAGCGCTGCCTGTCTCCATGTTATCCTCTCGAGGTGTTGTCTGGAATCTGTGTCCTCCAGGCCCCTGCTGACCACACTGTCCAGTTCCTTGGGCCCCAGGCCTGTCCTCAGTGCTGTCTGGTTGCTATGACCACTCCAGTGGGTGCCCGAACATGTCTCCTAGAGCCATCCTCTAGGGATAGTTTCCAGGGCTCTGGGGAGTCCCTTTCTATCTGTGTTTGGATCCCAGAATAACCCAGGTCCCTGGTGCTCAAGGTGTGCAGGGAGGCCATCCCAGGTGGGGGTGACTGTAACCAAGCAGATGCCTCATGCTATGGGGACCGGGCCCTACCCGCTTTCTGTAGGAGCTTAGTGCACCGAGTGGGCTCCAGTGTTCCCAGAGGCTAACAGAAAGCTTGCCCACCTCTGGTCTTGAGTGCCCCCCTGCAAGGGGACTTGAGATTCACCTCAGCCAGGGTCCTATTGCTCCCCAGAAAGTAGCCCATGGAGAAGCAGAGTCTTGGGGGAAGGGCTGTGTTTGAGATCAGACCCCTTCTACGTGGCTCATGCATTTTGTGCAGCTGGATGTTGTTTGCTTCCACCGGTCCTGAGAACGGCCTGCTGACAAGTGACTTGGTTGGTCCTGGCTGGCTCAGACTGCCATCACCCCTGGTGTGTGGGATTCGGTGTCTCCGTGCTTCCTGCTTTCATCAGCTGTCTTCTAAAACCGAGAGTTAATGTTATTGCCTGTAACACTCTCCTCCTTTGCTTTGTTTGGATTTGGCTTTGCTCTCTTTATTTTAACTGTTTGTTGTGACCTAACTGGGTGGTGGTGCACAGAGCAGACCAGTTGTGTGTATGTGTCCAGCAGGGTTAGCCTCCTGGCCGTGAATGCCGTCCCCACCTGCCGCATCACTCCTCCCGCGTCCTCCCGAGGCTCCTGCGGCAGGAACGTTTTGTGTGTTTGCACGTCTCTATCTCTGCAGACAGAGGCAGTGGGGCACTAGAGGCTAGGTCATGAAGAAATGGCCGTTTTTCCCCCCAATGTTGTTGTTGTTAAGTGCCGTTGAGTCGGTTCCGACCCATAGTGAGCCTGTACAGGGTTTCCGAGACTGTAAATCTTTACAGGAGCAGAAAGCCTCATCTTTCTCCCATGGAACAGCTGGTAGTCTCGAACTGCTGACTTTAAGGTTGGCAGCCCGATTCGTAACCACTATGTTACAAGAGCTCCTTCCCCCCTCAATAGCCACCCAAAATAATTTCTGTGTTTTCATAGTTCTGCTATGCTTATGTTATATTTTCTGACTCACTGACCCAAATACTAACTTTCTCTTGTGCTTTATTTTAGGGGACTCTGCCAGTGATGCAGGTAAGAAATGGCCGTAGGTAAGCAGGTACTGTATAAACAGATTGATATTTTGTATATTTATATAAAATGTATAAATTTATATTTTATACCATTGCATTGTACTCGTGAAATTAACTCAATTTAAGGAAACATAGCCTGACCATTGTTGCTATTAAGTGCTGTGGAGTTGGTTCCGGCCCAAAGCGACGCTGTATAGGGTTTCTGAGGAGTGGCTGGTGAACTTGAACTGCCCCCCTTTGTGCTTCAAACTGACCTTGCAGTCAACGTATTAACCCACAGCACTACACCAGGACTCCTGACCACACTAGTATAATATTTAATTTACATGTTTTATTCTAAAAGAATGCACTTCAGGTTTTTTCCTCAGAGTGTAAGTTATATTTTCAGTATTAAAATTCTGATTTATTTTGACTACACTCTAAAGTATTGTTGTTTTTGTTGTTAAGTGCCTTCGAGTCGGTTCTGAACCATAGCAACCCTGTATAGAGTTTCTGAGGAGCAGCTGGTGAGCTTGAACCACCAACGTTGAGTTCAAGCCGACTTTTCAGTCCAGTGCCTTAACCCACAGCGCCACACTAGGGCACCATACTCTAAAGTATTGTTGTATGAAGCTCTTTTATGTGGAAAAAATGGAATATGTTTAATTGTTTTAATGGTTTGGGCCTTTTAAATCAAAATGAAGAAAACTTTGCTCAGATTATAAAAATAGTGTGGTAAATAGCCAAAGTAAAAATAAAAACAACTTTAGATTTCAGAAAAACTGAAGAATGAAATGAAAGGTATTGATAATTCCACTATTCCTAACTTTCACGGGCATCCATCTGGAACCCCGGAAGCTCAGGGAGGAATGGGATGAAAAGATAATGGGATTTTTCTGTGAACATTTTGAATTTGAGATTAAAAGACAATGGAATTTTTCTACCAACAGGCCCCGTGTATGTCTACGTAATTATTAGATACATTTTCATACGATATTGATAATATATTAAAATGGTGGTGGTGTGCCGTGGAGTCGGTTCCGACTCACAACGACCCTGCACAGGGTTTCTGAGGCTGTAAATCTTTACGGGAGCAGAAAGTCTCATCTTTCTCTCGTGGAACGGCTGGTAGTTTTGAACTACTGACCTTGTGGTTAGCAGCCCGATTTGTAACCACCACGCTGCCGAGCTCCTTATATGAAAATGGTGACTTTGCATCAAAAACGCCTACCATATGACCGTACAGTAATTTACTCAGCAGTCACCCCTTGTTGACCACTAGAGGGTGATGATGTGATTGACACACACATGTTTACACACATGTCCATTTGCCCTCTTGGGCCATACTTCTGTTATGTGAAGTTGCTGAGCTGTCTGACAGAACCTAAAAGGTTTCTGAACAGTTGAACGGGTTTGGGTTTCAAGCTTGGGGGTCGTGCCTTTCTTCACCAAATTCAGTTATCTAACTGGTTTGTTTTGTCTTATCAAAGTGAGAAAATAGCTCATGGATAGGTTGGCGTCTCTTCAAGCACTTACTGGTTGTTTGTGTTTCTTCCCTGGTGAATTGCTGATTGAATTGCCACTGTGTGTTTAGAAAGAGATGTAGGACCCGCTGTCCAGGAGAAGTCCGAGGCAGTAGAGAATTCAGAAGTCCCGAATGAGCTGTCATCCAACCTCAGGTCCGTGGCTTGGGGACCATCACCTTGGAAAACAAAACACACCTGGGGCATGGTCACTGTGTTTCCTATGTCTTACTTCATGCTCAGGGTCAGTCATGAGGAAATGTTTGTACGAAGAGAGGAGAAACAGTCAGTACGAAGGGGCTTCCAAAAATTCCTAGAAAATGGAATGAAAAGATCATGGTGCTTTTGCACGAACTTTGTGAAGCCCACTCGTATCATTTCCCTGTACCTGAGATGTATGTCCAGTACCCGTGAGTGGCTTCTAAGTCATAGTGACTAAGAACATTCTAGAGGCGTGGGGAAGGCCGTGATTATGGCAGTACTACATCATGGGTGTTTTCATTACTGATAGTCGGTGTTTTTCATACCTTGAAGTACCTAGAAATGTAAGATTACAAGTAGGTGCTTCAAAAGTGTGTTGGACACTGGACCTCTCTTCACATTCTGCAGCAGGACAGTGTAGGAATGAGTGGTCTCTCATGTCCATTTTGAAATGTGTCACTTCTGCTCTTCAATGATTTGGACTTTAGGAGGATACCTCGGCCTGGGAGCGCCAGACCAGCTCCTCCCCGTGTCAAACGACCGGAAAGCGCGGAGGTGTTACCTGTTGACAGGTGAGGCTGGCTTGGTGGTGGTGGTGGGGTTCTAGCCTGAGGGTTGTTGGGAAAGTGAATGATCCTACATTCTCTCTCATGCGGGAGGTGACGAGCGAGTCCTTGGGGCTCCCTGGTGTGTCGGTGAATGGTGTGTATGTGTGTGTCAGGAATGTTGGAAGTGGAGAAGGGTCATTGTCGAGCAGCAGGATTTGTCGTTGTTTGTGTCTGGGTCAATTCCAACTCTTGGCGACCCCGTGTGTGTAGGATTGGACTGGCCTTCAAAGTGGTTTTCAAGGCTGTGAGCTTTCGGAAGCAGATCGCCACACCTGCCTTCCGAGGAGCCTCTGTTGAGGTTTGAACTGCAAACCTTTCAGTGAATAGTTGAATGTTTAATTATAAGCAGCACCCAGGGAAGAGCAGCGTGACAGATATAACTAGTGTCATTGGATTGTACCAGTGAAGAAGGTTAACCAGGCAAATGATTGGTCACATCTCTCTGTAACACACACATACAAACACGAACACGAGGCATCGGTGTCTATGCCGATTCATGGAAGTGAAAAGCGTGGTCAGTGGTTGAGGATGAAAAGAATCAGGTTACACCCTCACCTCAAACCAAGATCCACTTCAGATGAAAGAGAAACCAGTATGTGCAGTCCTGTACAAGCAAACCTTGAAACTGTGTGAGGAAAATGTTTCAGTGTGTTTCTCTGACATCGAGATCGATGTTCTAATTATTAAAAACTAAAGACAAGAATAGCAACAGGGAAACAGAAGCTTTTCAAGGTTAATTACACAAAGAGTCAAAGCTAAAGCTTGTGACAAGTCACTGAGAATATCAGCACAGGCTGCAATTTAGAGTAAATTACAGTGACATACAAGAAGT